TCTGTTGGGAAACCAGTGAACCTGAGAGTATGTAGGGCTGGGGTAGAGAGTATGTAGGGCTGGGGTAGAGAGTATGTAGGGCTGGGGTAGAGAGTATGTAGAGCTGGGGTAGAGACACAAACCCTGGTCTCAGAGGTGTGAGGTAACAGAGTTACTCACTGTCCTGCCATGCCATCTATTTTAAACTGACTAAAAATAAATCTTAGATTTAAAGGAATTCCATCAACTTTCTTGCCATAATGTAGTCCTAATTTCTTCAACATCCTGCCATTACAAGTTTATTCTAAGGGAGCAAGAAAAGTCAATTGACTGCCTGAATTTCCTGTTCAAATTAAGAAATGTATAAATGTACAATGCTGTTTTGAGCAAAGTGTAGATATTTTTGCTCAGCAAGGAAACAATATCCTATAAGTGAACTTCAGTATTCCTATTTGATATAAAATATCTTACATATCGGCTCACATGCATCATTTTGTTTGCCTTTGACTCCCTGTATATCTTAGTCATCCTCATAACGCAGAATGCATGTGCTTGGTTGATGAGTAGACCTCTTTTCATGTGTGCTAAGTTCAAAGTGAGACCGAAGCTCAAAGCACGGCGGTAACTGAGTGATTGCTCACAAAGACTAGCTTACAGTTGTCACATGTGCTATAATGAGAAAGGATGTTGAACAGAGATTATTAAGTTCTACGGGAAAGTCTGATCAGGAGTAATTCAGACATGTGAAATCATTTTGGTCCACTTTTAAAAAGCACTCAAATGTGTATTTTTTCTCTCTCTAGCTTTTGCCTTTTACTTTCACTTCTTAAGGAGTCACTAATTCATGATCACCACAATCACAGACCAAAAGTAACAGGGTACTGATAAATTAGCATACGCATACACCTATACAAGCAGTCGTGGGAGTTTCACTTACTCAAAACTGTTTTGAGGGAAGAAAGACCAATGATTGGTTCAGAGACATAACCAATCAGATTGTGGAGGAGGTGGGTCCAAGCAACTAGAGAAGGCTGAACCAAGACATCTGACTGGTTTGTCCGGCCTGTTCTAGTTGCTTGGACCCACATCCTTTACAATTTGATTGGTTAACTCTCTGAACCAGTCATTGTTCTTTCTGCCCTCTGAACATTTTTATGTATGTAAAACTCCCATGAACCATACAAGTGATGCTTCATACTCATCCTCACTGAAGAGTGACTTGTTTACGCAGTAGACAATCATCTCCTAAAACCGTAACGATAGAATAAACTCAGCATTAATTGACTCATTAAATCAGAAGGCATAATAGGCATTATTTAAACTTTTTTAAATAAAAAAGAAAAGGATTTGGATTAGCAGAGTTCAGCAAAAAAAATGGCCATCTGATAAAAATGAGAATAGTTTTTCATTTTGCAGAGTCCTTACTGAGAATGGCAGTTACACCAAGCCCAATTTGTGGTGTGTGTTATGTGCAAGTCATCCCTGCGACCGCAGTGGCAGCTGAGAGAAAATGCAGTATACAGTGTGCCATGGGCTGAAACATGTAATTCATTCATAAGCAAGAAGAATTGTGAAAAAAAAATATGTTGGAAAATGTTGTTTAAATGGTTCTTTCACTAGGTGGGTAAAATAGGTCAGAAAAAGAGCATCTCAGAGTATTTCAGTAAAATATAAATTAAGAAGTAAACTATTTATGAAATAAGTGACTTTCTATGGTTTTTCAACTGCTGATATGCACCAAATCCTTGTGCATAACATTATTAGTTTGGGCAGGATTAAGGAAGATGCTCATTTAGTGTCAATCAGGGGCTTTAGCGGACATTTTTCAGTGGTTCACACTGGTTCAGTTTCATAAACCTGAAAATTTACTGAGGTCATTTATCTAAAAGACAGATCCTTCCGGAAACTGCCTGTGATCACCCATTATTTAGCTTCCCATAATTAATGAACGGACCAGTGCTGAAAAAATACAAAAGATGAAATAGAAGCAAGAAAAACAATAATGTAAGACAAAAATTAAAAACAGCAAGGTAGCCATTGTGATTCCCAAGTAGCTGACAAGATTTGACACAAGCTATGACGCCTCCATTATTGTGTCCATATAACAATGATTGGAGTTTACCCAAGAACCAGAAAGAGAATAACGATTTATTATAAATAAAGCATCATCCCCCCCGACAGGCAGCCAATACTCTAAGTATGTGTTTCTGAGAAGAGGTTCCAGCAATTCCCTTTAACAATGAAAGTTACTGTAACAGCAGATGGGTGACAATAACAGTGCACTAAGGTGCCCTGAACAGGGGTTTCCACAAAAAAGTAGATAATCCTCTGATAGCTTGCCAACTGACGAACTTGAGTAAAAAAGGATACCAGCTCTATAGTGTGGAGCAGACTTGACCAGAGGACTCCCTGTAAACATCTGATGATAAATGGTCTCCTGAAATCAGTTTTCAAGGCATCCAGGTGAATGTCAGAAATACAGGAGAACCCACAGGACGAACGGAAAGGCAGAGAATGGACTCCATTGCAGCACATTCTCCTCCTTCACTTCCCATGTCTCTAGTCCCGGATGGGCCTCCTTTCGGAAAGATGCTTTCGATTCCAGCAGTACCTTTCTGCTAGAGATCATTTCCCAGCCAGCCAGATAATGGTGAGGAGCAAAAGATATGACACATCTGGCTCCCAACACCCAAAGGCATGACTGCTTGACGCTATTTCCTTTTTGCAGCATAGTCTTCCTTTCTGGCAGAAATGTATTGCTTGTAGCACACTCCCGCCGCTTGGTAGCCCAAATAATAGACTAGCCAGTGATGTCATCCACAAATAAACATTAATGGTAAGCAAAAGGAAACAATCGCACACTGCCTGCTGAGTAGCACCTTGTTTACTAAGTCACATACTGACCATACTGTTTTATCCTGTATAACCGCCTCAGTCTCTTCATACTTTATACCCAAGGCATACTATTACCCGATTACACTCATTAACATGCAGTAATAACAGCCAGCCCAAATGGATACATTGTAGATTTGTGGACGATTTATTTAAATTACGGGGGGCTGTTTTTTGTGACTGGGGGCGATAGGCAGAGGGGGTATATGCCATGACACGTTTTATCCACCTAAGAAGACGGTTACTACTGTATATCGTTGCCTGTAACTGAGATCGGCATCGCATGAGGACTTAAACACACTCGGCAGCATTTCCTTCGCCGTCTGAGTCCTGTTTAGTAAAATATAAAAATGCTGGGTAGAGTCTCCAGTGAAAGTGACCTTGAAAACAAACAGGGTAGCAGACCTCTGTTGGGTCTTAAATGAGTATATCTGTATTTGAGTCTAACTATAAAGCGCAAATGAAAAGTTCTGTTTTTTCTCTCTTTAAGTTATAATCTAATACAAGTGTATCATTGCACATCACCATTGCAGTCTTTATTGCTTTGCTGCGTGCAAACTATCCAATTATGTCCAACACTGCCTGTTACAATTATATTTGCTGCCAACGTCCTGTTTCATCCGTTTGCCTATATATTTATTTCTTTTCATTCTCCAGTATTTATCAGGGCTTTTGGCTAAAGAAAAAATGTAGTAATTTAAAGGTACTATAAAAATGCGTAGCACGCAGAATGTCAAATTAATCAATTTAATTTTAAAATATGCAAATCTTAGCCTAAATTGACCTAATCTTTAACCCATATTTGGTCAGGAAAAAAAATATGTCCGTTATTCCTGCTGTACACTCCTCAAAACTCAAACAACTAGCCTAAACTCAAAAGTTTAAAACGCTTAGTAAAACCGGGTCACCTATACCATAAAACTAATGATGCTCAGAACCAATGCACACGCGCGGAGTAATTGGTATATTCATGCACAAATAATGGTAAAGATAAGTTACATTCGTTTTAAAATACAATCAATCCAAATAAATAAAAAACGAACAAAAAGATTAGATAGATAGATAGATAGATAGATAGATAGATAGATAGATAGATAGATAGATAGATAGATAACGCTGCATACCTATTTGCATTACAGCTACAGTAGATAACCCATGAACGAAGGCGCTGGACGTACTTTTAGGGGACCACATGGAGCGGTTTAATGAATCCGCCGATGCACATTTGCATGACAATCTTTTAATAATGAATATATGGTAGCTTGCTTTGTGTCCATACCTGCAATAGGAAGTTACCTGATTGCCCAAAGTAATTCTGCCTTGCACGTTGCATCTATAGGGGTGCACAATAAAAATCCCCTTTAATTTGTCAGTTTTCCGAAAATGCCCCCACCCCCTTTCAAATATAAAGGTGTGAAACATAGCCTACACATGGAAGAAAAGTGCCGCCGTGACTAGGATGACTAATTAAACTAACAGTAAGTCACACGCTGCACTCGCCAGTTTTATAAGGAGAGAAGAAGGGGACTGCATTGGACGGTGACATAAAAGAAATATACAACATGAAAAAATATAAAGCATACAAAGTCGGTCGTGCACGGATGTCTGATAAAAGAAAATAATCTGAGGGGGGAAAAATCACTGCAACCTCAATGGGAGTGAAGGCTGCTCTTTGGAGAGAGGCATGCCTCTCTTAGGTTCAAGTCAAGCTTTTAAATCTCCAGAATTTTCTTGCTGTCCTGTTATAAAGCACAATTGGCTTTTCTTCAGGTAATTCCCCAAATTGATATAGTACGAATCTGGAAAGGATTTATTTTATCCCGTGCCTCGTTTTATGTATTAGCGATACTAATGCTCTGCTATATTCACGCCATGGTTTCTACCCAACTTTACAATGCCCCTCTTTCTACAGTTTTAATAATTAATAATAATGATTAAAAAAACAAAATCGAAACCTAATTCTATCATATTTCAATTAATAGCACTTCAAACAATAAATTATTCCGTCCAGCAAGACGCGAATTAATGAATGAAAAAATCGTTTTATAAAACGCAGTACTTAAGATAAATCGGTTTTGACTTTACCTAAAAGCAACCGTAAATTGCAGAAAAAACAGTGTTTCGCTTACCAAACTGTGTTGCTTCTCAGGAGATTTAAGCACCAGAAACCTTATGTCATTGATTCCACGGTCTGTCTGGTTGGTGCAATAACTGTTGTAACCTGCCGTGCAGAAGACTGACTACAAAACCATTTTCGTGTCTCTCCTCAGTCAGGTTTCCACGCTGAGCCTGTGACAAAGAAGCCGAGGACCAGCGCGGAGAATACGGCAGCGTCCATAGATCGTTAGTGAGAGCGCCGGGATCCCGGAGTCAGTGTCGTGGATGCATCTCCCCGGGTTCAGCTCCTCCGTTATTCCACAGCAGCGCCCACGCAAATCTGCCCACGAGTGACGGCGGCGGCGTCCGAGCCGCGCGCGATCGCCTTTCGGCAGCCACGCGCCGGCGATGTCACTGCTGATGCCAGACGGAGACTCACACCAGACCGCTACCTTGCTCAGTCCAGGCGGGCTGCAAGACTAACATGCGCGCAGAAAGGAAGCTTCCTTATATTTAATCGCACCATCGATCACATGCGCAACTTTAAAGTTGCGTTTAACGAAACTATATATGATTTAATGAATAAACAAACTGGCGCCTGGGACACCAGTTATCCATACTGATGTAATTACTGCGATTCTCTTAGCACGTGCCGTCTTGAGATCGGGTGTCTTTGCAATTTTTTTACACGTATTACAATATACATTACCACCGCCTGTACTTGCATAAACAAAACATACCTTTAATTGCCGAATGTCAAAAAAGCAGTTTACACAGTTTAGCTGTGAAAATATTCCCCGACGCAATCAAACTCGCTGTCCAGTGATTTTTAAAGCATAAAACCACTACATGACAAAAATAGCAAATGCGTGTTAGGTGGCATGCAGAGAGGTTGCTTGTCAGTAGCAGAAACTGCCTGTGTGAGTCGTTAGGCATGTGAAGGTGTATGTATACCCCTGATGTTTGCCACTCCTTGTTTGCCGCTTCCCTCCGCCAAAGAATGGTTAAGATAGTCAAACACATGTGGTTTTTTTTCCTGATGTCTAGATTATATTTATGACAGGTGAATATGGTACAACAGTTCAGGAGTTTTACATGAAATAGATCATTTTCATCAGCCCAAAAGAGAAAATCAAGGCCTATAAATAGATATGTGCCTTCAAATAACCAGATGGTATATAAAATGTATAACTATGCACGACTATTCATGACCAGCCATTCTGTTCTTTTCAATAATCCATCCATAATCTGTAACTGATTATCCAGTGCAGAATCTTGGTGAGCATATAGTGCACGACCCCTGATGGGATGAAATATTATTATTATTACTATTATTGTTGTTGTTGTTGTGGCTGTTGTTTTTGTTGTTGCTGTTGTTGTTTTGTTCTTGTTATTCTTGTTTTGTTCTTGTTTTGTTGCTTTGTTTTGGTTAAGATCAGTAACTCTAAAATGCAATAATCAATTATAGCAAGGAATTACATACGTTCAGAAGCCTATGATATGAAAACATGTCCATCCTCAGTCGGAACAATGTGGCAATCACGTTTCTTTGGGATTCCTTCAGATGGCACTGTAATCTCACATAAAATCCAAAGGCACCTGTCAACATCTCTGCAGTTCTATGTCAACACTGAGTTTTATGTCAATAAAGAGCTGAAAGTGGTTGATTTATTATTAATTGACATTAAAAGCCACTGGTTATACTAAATGGGATTCACAGTTCTTTATTTTAAAAATGTCCCTCTTTTCTTTCTTTCTTCTTTCTTTTTTGTTTTAGTAATTATCCAACACTGGATTACTTTTCCAGAAATAGGTTGGTTATTTGTTTAATTAATTAATTTTAGAATTTAGAAATTCTTTCCTTTTAGAACTTAATTTGAATGTTATACACCACATAAGTTTGTGTTGTAACTTGTATAATTTATGTTTTTTGTTACTGTTTAAATCTCAATAGAAACAGGAAAAAGTAAACAGAATGAAAAATGTCCATCACAGAATCCTGCTGGCAGTTTGCTACAGTAGGTGTAGAGCCTTTCGCCCAATATCAGCAGGTATAAGTATATTCATGTACTTCCAAGAAGGATGTTCCCCAAAGTTTAGTTCTTGGGCAATTAATCAGGGTGGGGTGTGCACCTATGTGGGTGCCTATATGATCAGAAGGTTGCTAGTTAAAATCATGGGGTCATTAGCGTGATTTCACCATTGGGCTCCTAAGGAGGGCCCTTAAGAAGGGCCCCAGAGACTGGCTGACCCAGCTTTCTCTGTTGTATGTTGCTTTGGATAGAAGCATCTGCTAAATAAATAAAATGTAATGTAAAGATGTGCCATGCAAAGCCGAGAGTAGATTGTACAACAAGATTAGATTTCTGAGGCACAGAAGTTACAGCAAAAACTCAACAAGGTTTAATTTATCAAAGCTGATTTTCACTTATGTTTCCGTACTGTACTGTATCCACCCAGTGTTCATTCCACCTTGAAGGTGGATATATTTTCTCTTTCTAAGAAGCCTTTTTTTTTTTTAATACTTTCACCGAATCCTTAATTTCCCAAAACATGTCTCTAATAGCTTTATTGCTGAAGCGGCACCATTTGTTTGCCTTTCTTATTAGCTAATCGAGTCTGACTGCAGGAATTGATAGGGCCGGCTCTGGAGTTGCTTAGCAACCAGGCCACTGCAGATGACCATAGCTGTTTTTTAGTCAGCTTTGGAGAGTGGGTGAGAAATTTTATGGCATTAAACCTGTGTTGTGCATTTCCTGGCAAGGTATTCGCTGATTAAGTTTAGTGCATTTAACTTTCCGTGGCATTTGGATAATTTGGTTACTTTTATAGGTTTGTACCATGATTAAGTTCTAGTATATGAATGGGTAAACTAAATCTTCAGAAGATACTTCTACTCCAGAGACATTATGCCACAAGTATCATCAGATAAACTTCTACTTGTGAGTTAAAGGTGTGCTTTGCCTTGGACTGATTCTGTAGGATGTTGGCATAGAGAAGGGCAAGCCTGCATTCTGTCAAGTGTCTTGGGGCGACTGTGTTGTGAAAGGAGCTATATAAAATAAATTGAATTGAATCCGTTAAACCAGTAGTCCGACTATTAACTTCTCAATAGGATACAGTTCTCCAGTATGTTGAATCTGAAGAAACCTGTATTGTAGGCATTTAGCTTCTGTCAACAAAGTTCAAATTCTGAAGAAAGATAAGGTTAGTATACAAGTAACAAAGTATAATAATGTTAAATGGGGAACGCTAAAAAAAAATATGAATATTTACCATAAACGGGATCTACAGTCACGCCAAGGCTGAGCAAAGGTTACCTTTGGCGTGCTGGATTCTGTTTCTCTCCTGTGGTGCAGATATGAGCAGAAGAAAGCCAACGATGTAAGGCAAAGCAATGCTAAACATGCAAGTGTAGCACAGACTGTGCACTCGCAAGTTCTGATATCGTTCCAAGTGCCCACACAGAAGTTTTCCAGAGTTTCTATGTGCTGGACACAGAATTTGGGAAGCTATACTGACTGATAAACTGGGATAAAGCATAGCAGTAATCAGAGGAAGGCAACTGAAAAAGTTACAGTATTCAAACGTTGATGTTGCCATTGAGTTGGACTAGAGGTCACCACCTTCATCATGTAAATGAGCTTTAAACATATCCGTACCAAGTGAGTGCTGCGTAAGATCATTGCAGATTGTTCAAAAAAACACTTCATCTAATTAAAGAAGACATACTAAATATGTCAGTTGTAACATCATGCATTGATGGGTACTTGTAAGGAAGGTGGAAGGAAATGAATGAAGAACAGAAGTTGAGGTGATTTGCAGCAGACATCTATCCATCATTATTTATTTATTTATGTGTTTATTTATTTCTTTATTTTGGCGGGGGGGGGGGTATTAGTACTATTCAAGTAGCAGTAACTATTTACATATCGCTAATGAAGATTTCAACAGGAATCCGAATGATATTGACACCTATATATTTTCAATAATTCAGTCGCCAAGTCGCTCTTTCATTGTCATTAGCACAGCTTTTTTCTTGCTTGAAAAGCCTTTTATGTCTGAATCTGGTTTAATGACGATAAGAGGAGACATTTTCAGGGGCATCCTGACGGTTCAGCCAATAATGACACTCATCCAAGGTGCAGACTGAGCCCTAAAGCTCAGACAACAGACTACAAGGTGAGCTGTGTAATCTGCTGATGGTGGGACTTGGGATCAGGAAGCTGTGATGGCAGCTCTCCACTGGAGGGAGTGAGCTTAACCTGTGCGACCACAGCTCTAAGCTCCTCTGCCATACATGCTGGGTTCAGCTGCCTGCAAGACTCCCAATGCCTAAGCTACAACACAGAATTACAATGTGTCATGATGTTAAGGGATGGTTTGAATGACGGTAGCGGCTGCGGTGTGCACTGGGGTATCGGCTGCGGTGTGCACTGGGGTATCGGCTGCGGTGTGCACTGGGGTATCGGCTGCGGTGTGCACTGGGGTATCGGCTGCGGTGGGCACTGGGGG